TGAACCGGAGTAGTTATGTATCCCGTCCACTGGGCTTCAGCTTCTGGAAATGTCCTTGCCCTGAACACTTTCCTTCCAACAAGAAATGGGATGTCTCGGTTCACTCCCTCTTGGAACAACCTGTGGTGAGTTTGCCGCTGTTGACCTTTCCTCAGCTCAGGGCGGGTGAAGAAGGCTGCTGTGGGTTGTCCATGCTGATCCTCTTACAGGATCAGAGCCTTTGGGTTACAGCCACACAGGCACCAATTCCTCTTGGTTTCATTTATAATTTACGTGGTTATGGTTCTGTGGGAAGGGATCCCCAATGGGCGCTATGACTTCAACCCCTCAATGGATGTGCACCTCAGCTGCCAGGCATTGGCACTGGAGCTTGAAACTGAGGAATGGACAGTTTATAGATGATAATGATAGGTAGAGCGGTAGGGTGGCGGAGGTGTTGTATAGCTATCAAGTGAGTGTTACTGCACAGTTCCCTATTATTTGATCTGCCTTTTTGTCCAGTGACAGTTCAGGTGTTTTGCTAATTTATGACAGACGTGGGGTGTCATAGAATTGCTTTGGTTGGAAAAGACCTTTAAGATCAAGTCCAACCTTTTACCTAACCCTGACATCCCACCACTAAACCATGTCCCTAAGCACCTCATCTATTCTTCTTTTAAATACCTCCAGGGATGGGGACTCGACCATCTCCCTGGGCAGCCCATTCCAGAGCCTGACAACCCTTTCTGTGAAGAAGTTTTTCCTAATGTCTAGCCTAAACCTGCCCTGGCACAACGTCAAACCATTCCCCCTTGTCCTGTCGTCTGTTACCAGGGAGAAGAGGCCGACCCCCACCTGTCATAAGACAGTTCAGGCAGCTAGCAGGACTTTTTCAGATCTGTTGTGCTCCTAAAGTCATTATTTTAAATCCAGGTCACGTATTACTAACTTTGAAACAGATTTCATGTTAAAATGAAGGACTCGGGCACTTCTATATTAGCAAGACCGCTAAGTATTATAGTAACTTAACATGGTTGTCTTGGGTGATCTGGTTAAATAGGCAAGTGTATTTCGAGCTATCTCAGTTTTATGCTACTTTCAAAATCAAAACTTGTCTGTTACTTAGTAATTGCAATTTGTGATCAGAATCCTAAAAGTTTTTGGTGCTAAGTATTTGCATTTGTATTTAATACCAAAAGGGGGCAGCAGCTTCCTTCAAATCTTCAGCATTAATCAGACTTGAGGAAATGGGACCCATTGTTCTGCAGGTTGTTTGGTGTTTGCTTTTTTTTAATTTAACAGATAGAAAAAACTTCATTCGTTAGAACTATTTCTAGTAACATGCACTAACAAGAAAATAAACATCCAGTCTAGTTCACATCCTGTAGCAAGTACTTTGCAGGTGACACATCTTATGGTAAAAATGGTCCTCTGTGTCTTTGTAGCATATGTACAAGCGCACATGAACACACACACAGACAGTTATAATTTCATGGATTCATGACTGGTTAAAGAATGCTTAAATATTCCCATCAATTACTTTAAAACTGAGTGGTCTTAGAAGCTCACACCCAAGCAGTGAAATTTTTTTATCTGTTTGGGGGTGGATTAAGTCTTTCCAAAAGAAGGGACCAAATGCACCGATAAAACATGAAATGAGATATCGGGCGGGTTTGTAAACTCGCCTGCCTGCACTTTGCCAGTGCCCTTCAATCATGATATGCAACCAGCCTTGTCACATTCCTGGGGTCTTTGCTGCAGCAGAGGCTGCCCATGGTCATGTTGGACTCTGATGGTGAGAAGTGAAAAAAGGGAGACGATGCTTACATTTTGTTCTAGTCCGGTGTCAGACAGAAGCTGGTCAGTCAGAGGAAAGAGGAAGGTCAGTTCACATTGACTCGCTATCATCTTTTCTCTACTGCTGTTTTCAGTTCCCAGAAAGTACCAAATGGTCAGGCAGTCTCCAAACCTTGTTTGCTGTCGTTAACCAGGTGATCAGTGAACTTGTCAGCCAAATATTCTGTGGCATAAAACGTTTATGTCCTTGATGCTGGTCCTTACACAATGAAGTG